GGATTTGTGCCCAACTGTTGACGGACGGACGGACGGACGGACGGACGGACGGACGCTCGCACGGACGGACGGACGTTCATGCGATTCTACAAGCTGCATCTGACTATGTCAGATGAGCTAAAAAATATTAGAAAGGAATGAATGAGGGAGTGAAATAATGTACGTATATGTATCTATGTAAAACAACCAATTATAATTTAAATGTGTTAAGCATTTTACGTAGTAATATTTCGATTAATCGATCAATGTTAATTCAGAGCCTGAAACAAGCGTCAAATGCTTTACAATAGTCCTTAACCATGAGGAAGATATACCTGTAATATTTTCTTTTCATGGTGACAAGATGTTTTGATTGATGTGTGGATTTATTTAGACGCTTGAGCATCATTGATGGGAATCAATCAGATAGGAGGTGGTTTATCATTTTGTTAAATAATTATCAAGGCGGCATCATTACTATATTAATTTCAGTATTTTGGCCCATAACATTACTGTACAAATGATTCAGTGAAACTCAAAACATTTATTACAACTATATTTCACGTGAACTATGAACAATAACTGACAATTTTCATCAAACAAAATAGCATATGATCACACTGGCTAATTCACGTCTCTATGTACACTCATTCACAATTATAACTTTAGTTACAGCACAAATCTAGTAATGTAAACATTGATGTGGAATTACATTGTAATGAAATGATTGATAGAGAAGCATTACATGAATCTACAGGGTTACATATCCGATATCATAGCAAATCTGAATCAACGATGTTATGCAGCATACGTGAATAATTTGTCTTGATGTGTTGCAATAGATGACACTTCGTATCTGAGATAATACACATTTGAATATAGGTGGCACTGCAACTGGGCAAGTAGCTGCACCACCTGGTGGTCGCTGTGACCGTTGGGCATGCGTCTGCTCTGCTTGTCTTGTCATCGGTGATTGGTCGGTCAGTGATGGATTCATTCATCAGTATACAGGCAGGCAGACTTACGGACGAGACCACATCAGTGACTTCGCATCTACAAAATTCATACAAAATTTGTTGTGATAACACAGTACACTAAGACACCGACGTAAATTCACGGAAGTAACGCGTTCCAGAAAAACGTTTGTAACGCGAAATTCTGTAACATCAACCACGTTGTTCATAACGACATATCGACTTTCATGATGTAATTGGAGATGTGTTCACCAGGAACGGTTTTTTCGTCTATAAGAAATAGGCAATCCCCCCTGACCTCCCCTAATACAAACACAATTATTAATAAAAGTAAACATCGGCAAACAAATAGTCGATTATATTTAACAACAAAACACAAGAAAGTGATTCAAAATAAGAATAAGAACTACTCCCGTGTACCATAAGCAATAAGTAATAAAATAGTAATAATAAGAATTACTACCATGTAACTCCCTCGTACCGTAAGTAATAAGTAATATAATAGTAACAATAAGAATTGTTATCATGTAACTCGACGCGGCCCCCGGTTACCATGGTTACGTGTGTTAACGTGGGGTGCTGTCACGCTCACCTTCTACACTGCTCGCCTTCGCCGCGTCCTCACAGCTCTCCGCACGCTCCCTCCCGGACGCCGACACACGCAGAGACGAAGGCAGCCATCAGACACTGGTCAACGCTGGACACTGGATCGCACGTACGTCTGCCAAGAGGTAAAGCAGGAGGGTTGTGCGGTCAGCATCGTCCACACTGCGTCACGACTCGGTCGCGCGCGCCAGTCTGCTACCATCAGCCAAGCCCTGCGTCGAACCAAATCGCACATCACCGCTTCCCCTCTCCGTACGCGAGTGGCCGCAGTTCTGTTGTTACAAAATCGGCATCGGGGGCTGTAACCAGATGATCCGGAAACGATGGAATAGGCTGCAACCAAGTATGGTGATCGTTTTACTCAAAGGTTCGCGAGGCCACGTGACGATGAACGGTAGGTCATCGATGCTTACCTCCCAGTCTGTACAGTGACTGAGGTAGGTCACTCACCAATTACTTTGAATCTCCATCACTGTTCTTACAAACCTCAAGGAACCTAGGGCCCGTTGTCAGAAACAAAATTTGTCTTAACATTAACTTTTTCTCTTAGACCGTTGACAGAAACGCTGCAAAGTTACCTGAACGAAAAATCGTAGCAGATTTCCTCATAACAATACGAAACAAAGTGCTGTCGACGGTCTACGAGAAAATGTTAGTGTTAAGACTAATGTTAAGACTAATTTTGCTTCTGACAATGGGCTCCTAGTTTTTAATGTGGGGATAACAGTGGCGCAGGTGATTTGTCAGTGAAGCTATAGCACTCGTTACCCACTAATCGGTAAATTTACGTAAAAGCGGATTCCCGATGGAGTGACACGCAGCACGACCAGGGGAAAAATTACTTATTTTTCCATGAAAGCTCTTTGTCAAGTCTGTGGGAAAAATAGCTCTCGTCGTGAATTTTACGGGAGCTATTTTGAGCCTCACGGGAACGATTTCGGAGGTTTGAAGAGCTCATCGCTCATCGCTCCCGTGTATTTTTGACCCTGAGCACGACATACGTACGTGTCGCCAGCAGCATCGCCAGCAGCAGCAGCATCCGTAGACTGAAGTTCCAGCAGAGGTTACCGGTCACCGTCCTGCTGGCATTACATAATGCGCATCAGCCAGAATCCAACTAGGAGAAAAACCACATCACCTGTTTACGTCACACAACTTCCACGGCGGTTATTGCTGAGAATGGCAAGCTCTCCCATCACTCCCCTCGTAGCCGGCATTGACAGATGGCATGTCTGAGAACCAACCATTTACATACAGGTTTACACACAATTATCACCGATTCACGCATCACGCGAAGCACTTACATGAAAACAAAAGCAGAAGTAGCGGGCAATTAGTAATGGCCAGCACAATGGCCGGCAGAAAACAGACTACTGAACAGAACAGAAGCAGAAACAGAGTTGACTCGCAGCGAAAGTTGAAATTCGTGCACGCTAGCCGTATATCGTTAGATCGACATGGGATGCGACGACGTACAAGGTCAAACTTACTCTCCCGCGATTGTCTGCATCTGTCGTGGAACGCGTCTTACACGATCGTTGTGTCGGCCTGGTCAGGTCAAGCATTACCGGACGCACGTACGCAATCACACAGTTACACGTGTGAGGGGGACAGATGGAGAGGGAGCTTGTGATCGGGTCATACGCGCGGTGGCACATTGAGCGACTTTTCGGACAATAAGATTTCCATGCAGAGCCGCTGCATTCATTACACAAGCTTCTGGGTGTTTTCCTCCGAGGGAAACGTCAGTTTTTACCGTGAAAAGGAATCGAATGTCAAAATACGTTCTCTAACTGTTTCTACCTCTCTGACCATCACTTATATTCCACACTTAATCTTTGTGAAAAGAAGTGGGTATTTTTCAACGACCCAAATATGTGAAGTCACGTGAGCGAGGGAAAATATGTAGCAACTATTATTCGATAGTTGAGCGAGGCGTACAGCTAGTTAAGTGTTAAAACTGGGCTGGATATCAAAAATAGGGTACAGCTATAACGTATTGGATCAAGCTCTACATTGAGTAGCAATGATGACTAAATGGCAATAATAGAATCAATGATGATTCATGTAGGAATATCTCCCATCTTTAATTGTACGAATAACTGAATCACAAACATACATTCACACGTATATTGCTCCAGAACTAATGCTTTACACCGCGTAAGTGAATTTCCCGTCAAATAGTCCATGACAAAACGGTGCGTTCTTAAACTTGTCACCTTAAACTAATGCCGTCGGTGCTCCTGTCGCGCGCGAAACCCACACGTTGTATGTCGTCATGACAACCACGCGTTGCACGTTACCACGGCTGCCATGTGTTGCACGTTACCACGGCAACTATACACACGAAACCTGACTCTGGTGCTCAAACTTAAACACCCACACTAATCCTACTGGGTGTTTACTCACTCCACACCACACATACTCTACTCTTATATCTGATAGGACACAATTTCAAAAAGTTATGCATTAACCCTTTCACTAACCTAACACAGACTATGACAGCTCAATGAAACATATGGACATGACGCACAATATAAAATCAGGGGCCCGTTGTCAGATACAAAATTAGTCTTAACATTAGTCTTAACATTACTTTTTTCTCTTAGATCGTCGTCAGAAACGCTGCGAAGTTACCTGAATGAAAAATCGTAGCAGATTTCCTCATAACAATACGAAACAAAGTGCTGTCGACGGTCTACGAGAAAATGTTAGTGTTAAGACTAATGTTAAGACTAATTTTGTTTCTGACAACGGGGCCCAGGTTTATACCTAATGACAGAACCACTTATCGTCTTTAAAACAAACCCTATACTTCCCTGTTCTTCCTTGTAGAAACGCCAACCGAAATTTTCGTCAGCTACTCTAGATTAGAATCAGGGGTACCAATGAAAAATCCAAACACGGGTCCCACTGAAGATTACGATTCCATCCATTAGGTGGAGCTAGTAGTCTAGTCTGTTTCATTGCTAACACACGCACGCATACACATGGGTTGACAGCCTACGACAACATGAGACAGATCTCCCACTCGCTTCTCTGTAGGTTAATTAATCCAAAAAACAACTTTCACACATCTTTTTTTACCACCGAGTGTGAGGACATGGCATACATATGTGGCTTGTGGAACCACGCATGCATCTTTATATAACTATATGCACATTCATATAGACACAGTGCATAAATATGTATACATGTATTAATGCGTATATCTATATATAAGGTAGACAGATATGGAATTTACGGGTATTTGCTATGCATAATAAATATGCATCATAATATTAAACGTCAATGCCATCTGAGTATGAGAGCCCCTAGCTTTAAACTTGTATGCGTATAGCCAACTATTTTTGTGCAATTACTTGTTTCCTGTTTAACCAATGATGGATGCAAATTTGGCTGAATTTGACAGCATTACAAGTGAGGCATGCAAGCAGTACGGTTATGCTCGTAACAGATGCTCCGTAGTCGGTTTTAAGAGCGGACGAATGTCGTCACTTCGAGAAAAACCGTCCACAGTCACTGTCGAAGGTCACTCTCACTGTGCATGAGAGCTGTCAATATCTCTGCAGAGACGACGTCGTCGTCGTCGTCATCGTCGTCACGTGACGTTGTTTCGTAATTCGTGGACCGGTTGTGTCCGCGTCACATCAAGTAGCGTTCGACGTGTCTTGGTCTTCAGTAAAGTTCAGTAAACGTGTGACAAGCGTTGATGCGTCATCAAATCGTCGGTTGACACATCCGTCTTGTCTGGTTAGTCATCTTTTTCAACGTCTGTCAAAACAAAGATGACCATTTTAACGACCGTAATATACAACGCTGGTGAAGCCGATGTTCAGACTGACGTCGCTCCTGCTCTCATTGGTCAGTCGTGTGTTGTGTGCAGTACACACGTCACGTTATCGCTGCTCATTCAACCTCAAAAACTCTCTTCCACACGCACACCCGACCCGTTAATCCACTTCCAATCGATTATAAAGGCAAGTGTATGAGATCATATCGCAAGCCGTCTGTAGTAATTCCGGACCACGCGTTTACCAGGGAATGGCCCATCCATTGTAACAGCTTCAAAAGTCCTTGATGACGTCAACAGATCTATATACACAGCCCACATTGGACAGTGAAAAGTCACATGACTTTAAGAACCAATAAACGCTCAGTAGGTGCACGTGACCACTCGGGGACGAGTCAAAAATCACGATTGTTTCGGGAGGTGGTGGAAATTATGAAAATGTCTATAGCGTGGTGCCCTCTACTAGGAGGGCATTTCCACGCATGTGACAATCATAAACCGCAGGAAACTTTATCTTCGCACATTAACATCCTCGTTGTCACCAAGCTCGCTGCGTGTGGACATCACGAATCTGTCTGTGAAACACTACCGCTTAGTCCATGTAAAATTATTCCTCTCTATTGACGTAACATTGCCCCCTCCCTTTGTTCACGTAACATTTTCCCCTCCCTTTGTCCATGTACAACTGTCTCCTGTCCATTTAACAATGTCCCCCTTATCCATGTACCACTGTTCCCTGTTCACATAACACTGTCCACCCCTTACACGTACCACTGCCCCCCGACCCCATCCATGTACAACTGCCCTCCCTGCAATCATCACTATATTACCAACACACAATTAACCTGGGATGCTGCTACATAGGTGAAGGAAGTTTAGAAAGTATGTCGTGCCACCTGTCGGGATCAAACAGGTTTAACATCATCCGTTCTGCGAATGCGCGCTCACCTCGCACACCGACATTCAACAACAACGGTTGGAAACGCGAGAGACTCCACGCCGGAGCGTATGTGGCGACTTCCCAGTGGTCAACGACGGCCACGAGGGGGCGCCACCACGGGACGACCGCGCGCGAGCAACTCACCTAGGCCGATTTACAGCTTCTGGCGTTTGCGCGCCGAGTTCTCGCTCGGCGGGTCTGCCTCCAGAACCTTCATCCTGCGAGTATGAACAACACGGAACGTGGCATTAACACGACGCATCGTTCCGCCAACGAACACCATCCTAATCTCCGCGTGCAACCTCGATTGTCTCTGTCACAAGCCCCTGCCACCAGCTGCAGTGGATAAAGCCATGCCTGGTCCCCTCAGCCCACCACAGAGAAGCTAGCCACCGGATAGCCTTCCACGATCGACATTTCCGTCTGCGAGAGATAACCTCGCTTCCTTGGATACTGTTGCTAGGCGGGTCAAGCTGGTACTGATTACGTATTTTTCACGCGTGCACGTGAAACCGTCAACTTGGCAAGTTTTTGCAGCCGAGTCAACTCACGATCACAATTTCGATACGTATCCTGCACACAAGTATGAACGTTAAAACGAAAGAAATAATGGTAAATAATATTAATTCTATAAAAATAATATTAATTCGATAAAAGTGCCAAGTAATTCAGTAAAAATAGAATTGCAAATTAAATGACAGGAGAGAACACACACCTCACGTGGCATATCTCTTGCATGTGCAGCGTTGCCATGGCTCTCTCACCGGCCTCGCGCGACGCGTACTTTGCGTAGCCGATGTTACGATGTCCCACGCAGTACACCTCAATCAGATCTCCAAACCTACTGAACACATCTGCAAGGCAACATGCAGTCACGAGGTGAGAAAAAACAACTGATTACCGATTCCGAGCCAAGAGTGTGCAAAACGGGCGTTTTGGGGGGTGACGATTTCTTAGTAAAGAAGTAGATGACTTTGTATCGATTCATTATATTATATTTTATATTATTATTGTATTCATTTATTTCAAGAACTAAAAAGGGCTAAAGATCACCAGCTTTAAAATTTAATGTTGATAAACAATAGGAAGAAGGAGATGCAAATCATCGATTCTCGCAGATTAGTTCACCGGAACTATAAAACAAATAATATCTAATCATAGTATTCAGCCCTACCAGGCAAATGCCCATGCTGCCATCTACAGGAACAGAAACCAAGCTCAACGACTAGCGAATTTGAGGCCTACCTTTCAGAGTGTACAGCGGCGGCGGCTCCGGATGAAAGACGAGGAACAATCGAATCTCCTCCGGGGTTTTGATGTCGGCGAGGGGGAGGGGGGGTCCGGGAAGCGGGGCGGAGCAATAACCAGGGGTCATGCTGCCTGTAAACACACACGCGAACACGCACAGATGCACGGGTGTGATTAGCACTGTGTGTAGAAAACACTGCAAAGCTAATGTCGTAGAAATATCTACAGCTTGAAATAGTCGCACACAGTCTCAAGTCCGTCATTAGAGAAATGTCGACAACAGCTGACCAATAAGGTGTCGCCCTTCGCACATTTATAAAACTACATATAACTAACTATATATATAACATATAACTAGATAAAACTAACTATATATATAATAATATATAACTACAAGTGGGATTAGCTGAATACCTGTTGTGCTGTAAGAGGTTGTGTTGTAGCTTGGAAGGGTTTCCATGCTCTCAACCTGCCGCAGATTGTCCGGAACAGGTAACCCTGCAACACATAATCACCATGACAACAGACGAAGACTCGTAGTTACCAGGGCAATGGTTTGGTGCAAAGTAAGGTCACCATTTACATTACATCATACCGCTAAAAATGATCATAACTCCTGCAACAAAAATTTGCGCTGCCACAAAACAATCTAGACATCTGTAACATTCGTAAAAGCCACGTGCGTTCAACGCACATGCTTTAGACTTTTACCCCTCACATTATACTGCATAACAACAACTATCGGGGCACGTACCAGCAGCTTTCAGGATCCCAGTAGCTTGATGGAGTGCACTGGCCAGCCCCTGAAGCTGATTGGCCACTTCTGGGTTCATGTTTCCCGACCTGCAACCGACAAACGATCAACACGCGAAGGAACGCGGGTCACACAATTGAAACACACAGCAGGAATCAGCGACAGTACACATGGAAATGCTGTGCTGCTTCCACTTACCCTCTACCATTAGGGTTACCTCGCCATGAGCTACACAGTACCACCTACACTCCTCCATATAGCAAGTAGACTAGGGCATCAGTTCAGCATCCACCGATGTGGCAACAGCAGGGCAGCGCCAGCACTAGCACAGTGGAAATCACTGATGCATCCACCATTAGGTTATGTTGCCGTGAACTGCCACCCCCCCCCCCTCCACATCATCGCCTTCTCCGGAACACTTTCAAATTCACCTTCCCCATGTAACAATGTGGCAACAGAAGGCAGCGCCACCACTAGCAATACGGTTATGTTGCCATGACCTACCCCCCCCCCCCCCCCATCATCACCTTGACCAGACTTCCCTGTAACGACAGCACGATGACTCACCCGTCGGATGACCAGGGGTCGCCCTCGTCGTTGTACTTGACGATGAGCTTCGAGCCGGGCGGGTACTCAAACCCGTGCATCTTCTCGCGAGCGTAGGTCGCCGCCTGTCCCGAGCTATACTTGATGATCGCGTAGCCTACAGCCGCAGCAATAACAACAACAACAACAACAACAACAACTGCAACATCAACAACAACAACTGTAACATCAACAACGACAATAACAAGAGCAATACCAACAACAACAACTCTATCATTGCCAGCAACACAAACAACAACAACATCAACAACACCAACAGCATGTATTCCGTACACCAGAACACACCGAGCATATAACGGGCAGACAATCTTCCACGACGAGGGATGCTCACAAGATGTAATGCATAAGGAGTCGAAATAAGCGATATTCCGATGGACTGGGTCCATCAAATAATCAGGAGGACCATCAGATTTTTCCGACAAACCATTGAATACTTTGGTCCCATTTTACGGTAATTTTCTTTGAAGTTTCCACAGTCCAATATCTATACTATAATTTGGCTAATCTTGTGTGTGTGTGTGTGTGTGTGTGTGTTTGTTTGTGTTCGCTTTTCGCCCTGATTTGTCACTCAATCGCGCTAACTGAAGATATATTCAGAATCACCACGTCTGGGAGATGGTTCTGGCTGAGAAAATTTTTTTAAAAAGTTTAAGTATTAAGTATTAAGTCAAAAATTCGAAAAAATGCTATTCGTCAATAGATGGCAGTGCGTACAGCAGATCCACATCACATACGTGGGCATTACACTGCGTCTCTTGACTGCCGCCGTATGAG